CTGTTAGGGGCATTTTTTTTAAAATATATATATTTTTAATATATATCTCTATTTCCATTGGATATTTATATAAACTTACTCACAAATGGAAGAAATACATGAATCCATCAGATGTTCTCCTTTCTCTGCCAATGCTGTGTAGTTTAAACATGGGCATGTTTTCATAATCCTCATCTGACTTTTATATGTAAGTTGAACATAATGTTATTTCCTTTAAGTCATTTATAGTAAATGAGGGATTTCCATTCATAAAGATTATGGGAGGTCCTAAATATTACATGGCAAGTTATTTAGCTACATTTTTAGGCATCTCAGAGGTTATTTGAGGTAATGAAGATCCCAGAGGAAGCATCTGAGAGACTGTTGTTCTCAGTTGCAGGTGATTAGGTGCCACATTGAAGGTTTGATTAATGTAAATACTCTTTATTGAAGATTTTTCCGTGCTACTGGGAAAGAAAATACCTGTAGTACTTAGGAGAAGGACATAGGTCTTTTCTTTTATTCCAGAAGATGTTATGACATTGCTATTTCTCTTTTTGGGGGGGCTTTTCTGTATCAATTTCCTTGATAAATGGAAAATGCAGGGATCTGAACACCAGGAACAGCTTCAAAACAGAATTAAGGGAAAGGGCACAGAATGTTTTTCACTGTGTAACTGGGGAGTGATTTTTTGTTGGTTTGTTTTCTTTGTGTATCTATTAATAGAAGCCTTTTATTTAAACAATTATTTTAATTTTAGCACATAAGTCTCTTTCAGTGAGTATAGTGGAAATATTCTGGAAAGTATATTCTCAGATATTCTACTGGATCAAGACCACAGTGCTCAGCATTTTTCAGCCTTGGCCTGAGTACAGCTATGGTTGGAAATAACATATATTCTGTATATGTTCTATATATTCTGTTTGGGAAGATGACTGTAAAGTCATCTTTTCCTGTAAAGGAAAGAAAGGTTTCTGTGAAAAGATGCCTGGGAAAAGAGACCATGGTTCCTGTGTAGCGTGGTGGAAGCACCTTTACAGATCTGCATTCTTAAATGTTCCTGGTTTTTATAAAACAGGATGAGAAGAATAGGTCTCACAGACTTATTTAAGTTTGGGATGAAGTTTTCTAATGGCAAACTGCTGCAGCTGCCACTCTCTCTGGTGATGACACTGTTTTTATGCCTGAAAAAAAAAAAAAAAAAAAAACCCCAAGGAAAGGAAGAAATGAAAAAAAAAACAAAAAAAAAAAAAAAAACAAAAAAAAACAAAAAACCACAAGGAAAGGAAGAAATGAAACCCCTCAAACCCTAAATGGCAGGTAGCTGAATTAATCCATCTGCAATATATTTCATACCAAGTTTGTGGGTACATGGCTCAGTGTCTTCACTTTACACTACAACCAAGGCATAAATAATTTGCAAAGCTCCCAACTTTTTCTTTTTTTTTTTTTTAATTGATTAGATGCTTCAGTCTGATTCCAATTTGATTTGGAACTTCTTCCAGGGAATTTATGGCATGTTGCAGTACCCTGGTAAGCATCAGGAAAAAAAAAATGCCTGGTGCAGTGCTCAGGGTGGTCACACTTTCACCTAAAGCAACTTTGTCCCTTCTTCCTTTCCTCTGGGTAGCAGGATAGGCTCCAAAACATGGTTCTGAAGGTAGTTTTGTTCCCTGTGTAATTAATTTATTACATGCAAAGTAAGTGTATAATGCAGCTATCCATAATTACTGCTATTTTGAATATTGTACTTGTTCTGAACAGGTATAAATTGCCAGCTCAAGGTATCTAAGAGACTTTGTGGAGTAGGGGAAATAGTTTGGAGGCCATTTCACACGCCTCTGGTAGTTTCTGATGTGTTGAATGTAAGGAGTGCAGAAATTAGTAAGTTTAAAAACCTGGAGTGATAGTACAAAAGCCTGTCAGCTTCAGGTATCAGACTAGGTTGAAATAAAGGTAAATAAAGTTTAAAAGTCAGTCTGGAAATGGTGCTGAAGGTGTTTAGAAGCTCTAGTCTGATAGGCATTTTGTGTTTCAGCTTTTTTATGGTACCTTTGTTAGCACAAAGTATAGTAGATCTGTTAAAAAAACCAAACTGGTTGTTGATAAAACCTAGGAAAGTCTAGTGAGGACATAATTAATGTGTTTTAGAGCTGTGGGTTGCAGTATGTAGGACTTGCTGTAGGGTGTAGAGCTACAGCTAAATGGTTATTAAAAGCAAAGGCTCAGTGCTCAGCCTGCTCCTGAAGGCTGACTGGGTTTAGTTTGGTAGCTTTTCTTCTACTTGAATTTTATTTGGAGCTCTCTGTCTCACATTTGTAGCAAGAGTGATTTCTGCAGCTTGGTATTTAAGGAATTGTGTGAAATGTCCTCAAGACAGGAATGTCAGGAGGCTGGGTGGACATGCCTGGGTGGAATACATCACCGAGCCTGCCGGTGCTGTTTTCCTCAAATAAAATTCATCTTTGTAACTAAAGTAAACATTTTACTCTGAATCAGCCAGAAGCTTGTTAGGAATGAAGGAAGTCCCCAGGCCTTGATGTTGATTCTGTTTGGTCTGGAAGGCTGAGCTCATAGCAATGGCTCTGGCACCAGAGGGAGCAGAAGATCTGTGTTTCTCCCTTTGCAAAGCAGTCAGAGCATCCCTGGGAAGAGGGCCTGCGGAGGAGAGGGGTGGGAAAGCTGGGTGCTGGCTGGAGGCTGGCTCAGGGGCAGACTGGGCTTCCAGCAGAGGCACTGGTCACCTCTGCTCTGAAGGGAAGAACACCTGAGTGACCAGGATGGGCTGGTTCTCTTTCTATAGCTGAGCATGATTTACTTTGAATCCAGTGCTAGAAAAGAGCCATCTTTCACTACCTTGTTATTGCTGGTCATGAGGAGTAATACTCACGGTTGTTATTCTTTAATCTGTCATATTTGCAGGAAAGTAAAATGGGCTGATTCTACATTTGTGTGTCGTCTTTCCTGTAATAACCTGTATTAACCTGTGCTATTTAATTTTCTGAACTTAACGATTCATTTTGGTGCTGATTCTTAGCTGAAAGTGTTAGCAGCATGCATTCCCCTCCCTACTAAACCAACCAAACCTCTTGTCTCTGTCCTGGGAGGGGGGTTAGCAGGGAGTGGCTGTTACTGCTCTGGGGGGCTGCCCTCACCCCAAACCACAACGCTCTTTTAAACTCTGATTTTGTCTCGTTTTCACCCTTCCTGTGTTGATGGGTAGTTCTGAACGTTGCATAAGATTGCCTGTGATGTGTTCATGCCAGACCACTCTGCAAGGGACTTGAAAGAGTCCCCGTGTGGCCCCAGAAGGCTGTTTTTTCTTTCTTCAGTTCAACAGAAGACAAGTGAGACTTTCCCAGCCAAACCCTGTAGGAAGCTCGCAGAAGCAGGAGGATTTCTGTGTCATATCCTCAAGTCAGGAGTTGAAAATGTCTGCTTTACAAATAGCTGTGCTCTCTGCTTTAGAAAGCCTGACCTGCTGCTTGCTGAACTCCTTGCAGAGTTTATCCCCACTTGATCTTAGACCAGATTTCTCGTGGGGTTTTATTTATGAAGACCTTTGTTACATTAAGGGCTGTCATCCTGTGAAAGGAGGCTAATGGGGTTTGAGTAAATAATTGCCTTTATTTCTTGTATGTGCAGAAATTTGTTGTTCTTTTTTTTTTAACATGGATTGATTTTTCTTTCTGAGGCAAGATAGCTGGATAGCAATACCTGGAATCTGTGACCCATTTTGTCCCATGTCCCATTCCCTCCCTCCCGTCACGTAAATGAATGACCAATTTACTCCTGCAATGCTGATGACAGTGAAATTTCTTTCCCTTGTGGAAGGGAAATCTAATGAAACCTTTTATTTCAATTAAATTATTGCTATGAAGCACCTCTGAACTCAGGATGACAGCAGCAAGGAAGTTTAGTTGTTATCTGTCATTTAGGTAACCTTTTTTTGTCCAGATTTTTCTCAGCTGACCATTTTCTTCAAGTTATTTATTTCCTTTCTTATTTATTTTCTTCTTTTTTTTGTGGTAGTGTTTGAGGCTCACAGAAGAGTAACTTGTAGTACAGGATGAAAAGTTGTTCTACACGATGTGTAGAATCGTTTAGAGATTTAGTGAGATTAAACCAGCTTCCTATTCCAGACCAGCAGTGCCTTTGTTTAAAAATAACTGGCAGTAGTAGAGCAGTTGGTTGACTTAAATACTACAGTGAAATTGTTGTAGCTGCCTGTGTTATTTCCTTTTGGTGAAGGTAGTTAGGAGCTGTCTTTAAAATACCAGTTATATTATGGCTGGCCTGGTGCCAAAGCCAGCAACTATAAAACTATGCACAGCTATTGTATTGGACAGAAAAATGACTGCATAATTACCACTTCAGCTCTACAGTTTTAGTTGATTAAAATGATGATAAAAAGCATGAAATGTGTTTTGTTTTTCTTTTTTTTTCCTGTGGCATCGTGGCGAGGAATATTTAAGGAAATAGCTACGATGGGAGGTTGTTCTGTGGGCAGAACAAAGTGGGAGCATCTTAAATACCATTCATTTAAATTAAGTTTAATCATCACGGCAAATCCATGGTTCATCTTGGACCATCGTCAAGTTTTTGTGATACTCACATGCTTTTATTTTCTTCAGTGGAGATTTCCATGAGGTGTTAGACAAACATCTTTCCTAGTCATTTGGTAATTCCTTTTCAGCTAGAAATCATTGCAGAGTGAATTTTCGAAGAATTTCTGAAGACCTTATTTCTATTGCTTGAATCCTGGTTAGAATCTCATTTGTTTGTGATGACCTTATTAATTGAAATGAGTAGGAAAACAAATCCTGGAGTTAGTTGCCAACATTGTCAAGTAGTTGCCCAGTGACAGGTTGTTGTGTTGTATACAGTTATCCATCAGTCAATGTGCAGGTGACAGAGCAGGAGAGTGTGTATTTGCCCTCTGAGGGTATGGAATCACTCCCTCCTAGGAATTCATTAGCATGCTAATAAAGCTGTTTCTCCTTTGTCTCCTCCTCCTCCAGTGAGCACTTGTCATGTGCCTTCACGTTCTTTCTTCACGGGGAGAGCAACGTGTGCACGAGCGTGGAGATTGCCCAGCACCAGCCCATCTACCTGATCAATGAAGAGCACATCCAGATGGCCCAGTCCTCACCATCACCCTTCCAAGGTAAGGGAGCAGCTGTTGCAGCTTCCTGGGCTTCACCTCACTTCTTGGGGGCAGGGATTTGGCTCCTGGTGGTGTTACCTTCAGAGCTGAATGAAGTAAGATGAAGTAACTCTTCAAATGGGTTAAATTTCCATCCTGGAAGTTGTGGCCATAAGGTGAAAACATTAGGACTTCAACACTAGGCAACCATAAATGATATGGGCGTTTTCCAGAGCTTTCTGTTCTTTAGTATTGTTTTTAAGGGTGCATGGATATAGTAAATCAAACAAATTAATCATTTTTGTTTAAAAAGACTTGGTAGCTAAGGAAGTGAGTGCACTGATTTGGTTTTCTTACCTGGTGTCTAGGTCAGTGGGCTCAAATCTGTAACTTCATTGCCATGGGAATACAAAAACTGAGCTTTCTAATTGAGGAGTACTTTTCATTCACAGTTTGTCAACTATTTTCGTGGGGTTTTGTGGTGTTTTTTTTTTTCCAAAGGGGTTAGGCCTGAAAATATATCAGAAACAAGGAAGAACTTTGAATTATCTGTGATTACTTGCCAGTGAGAGAAATCAGGGTTTTGCAGAATTAACTTAGTGGCTTATTAAATTCATGATGCAGTTGTGGTGCAATGCTCTACAGGAAAAAAGAAAAAAATTAACAATATTTGAGTCATTGAGTTATCCTGTCTTAACTACAGTCTGAAGTTACGGTTTCAAAGCAATTAAAGCAAGAAATCTTTATAGAATTAAACACAGAGTAAAGAAACACCTGGAGATGTGCAAAATGAGCATTTGTAATTTATGGAAGCTTTATTGAAATTCTAGGATTTATGGAAGCTTCATTTTTTTTTCCAAATGTAAAGTTCTGACAGAGGCTCACTTAAATCATAGGTTTTATTTCAGTGAGCTAAATTCATTATGCTCTGAAATCAGATATGACCCAAAGCAGAATTGAGTCTGAATGGAAATACCTGTTGTTGATCAATGAGTTCTCCTTATTTATGATGACTTTAGTGTTCTTCATGTGTTATCTCCACCTTTTTTCATGCTGAGGAGTCTCTGGTACCACGTTCCTGGTAAAAACCCTATTGTTGAATGTCCTTCCTCAATGACTTCCATGCGCAGTCGTCCCTTTGCCATGGGAAGTGCTGCTGCAGTACACTTGGTTAGTTTATTGTGGAAAGTATTCAACTGAACTACAGGAAAAGGTCCATTTTTAGCTTGGTGAGGACAGCTGTGCAGGAAGGTGGTGCAGGGTGGTGCAGCCTGAGATCCACACTCCTGCCTGAAGGCAGAGCCCAGTGGAGCAGGCAGTGGCCCGAGCTGCAGGGCAGAGCCTGGCTGGCACACAGCTGGGGTGGAGCTGCTGCAGGGCCTGTTGTTGCCCCCCTGCAGTTCTGGTGAGCCCTTATGGCCTCAACGGGACGCTGACGGGCCAGTCCTACAAGATGTCAGACCCAGCAACTCGAAAGCTGATGGAGGAGTGGCAGTACTTCTACCCCATGGTGCTGAAGAAAAAAGAAGGCATGAAAGAGGAAGAAGAGCTGGGATACGACAACGATTTCCCCGTGGCAGTTGAAGTCATTGTTGGTGAGTTGCAGGATTCTGCCTGAAGGATTCTTTACCTCCATGTGACTGCTTTAAAAAAAAAAAAAAAAATCTAATTAATCAGAAACAGCCATTATAATTTTCCTATCTCCTCTTGTAGCTCTCTTGACACTGGAACATCTGACTCGTTATCTTGCCTCAAGCTTCTGTACTCCCTGTATCCCACATGCTATTATTCACAGTATCAAACTACTTGTTTCAGCTCTGTGCTGGTTATAGAGGCTTAGATGTATATTAGTATGTGAAATTCCTTAGCTCTTTATATTGCAGAGAGGAAGTTTTGTCTAATTGACATTGAAAACAAGTCCAAGTAGCTGAAGCTGGTGAATATTATCGGCTGTATTTCAGACTTTCATTTTTCCATTTCTGTGTAGGTGGTGTAAGGATGGTGTATCCTTCAGCCTTTGTTCTCATCTCCCAGAGTGACATCCCCATGTCACAGAACGCTGCCAATACTGGAGGCCATATAAATGTGGGACAGCAGGGGCTTGGAAGCATGAAAGATCCTGCTAGTACCTGTGGGATGCCACTCACTCCTCCCACTTCTCCAGAGCAGGCTGTTATGGGTAAGCAATAAACTTCAGAGGCTGGAGTTAGCCTTTTGTTTCTCCATCACTCTTGATAGCTGAGGATAAGTATGTGAACAGGAGCAGACTTTTTTTCTGCAGGTCTGTGACAAAAGCCAATGCTTTAAACACCCCTGAAGAAGACACATCTTCAAACAAAACGTTGTGAATTGGGCATTGTCTTTGTGCAGTAGTGCAAACACCTGAGGGACTGGTCCCTGGGAGTGCTTCAGACAGATTTTGCCAGTGTTTATGTTTATGAAGTGTTGGTTTCCAAGTGTTGGGGTGGGAGGAGGGGGTTGATTCATCCTGGTACGAGCATACAAGAGTATGTAGGTCTTTTTGTCAACATCTAGAAATACCACACTTAGCTAAGCAGTCATGTTGGTATAATCAGAATTTGCAAATGCTGGCTACTCTTTTTGCCCTGCACAGTTGGGTTTTGATGAAGGGCCATTCAAAAGAAACGTGTGAGTCTCTGGGACTGGTGAGAAGGAGCTGGGTCTCCCAGATGAGGTCTGACACAGGCTTGCATCATAGGCAGCTGGCAAACAGAACACTGGGCAGCATTTGCAAGTGATTCACATGTTTAGTCGGGATAGAGTGTGCCCTGTTCAAGTGTTTGGATCTGTAGTAGTTCTGCTCTCAAAAGGCATGCATCCAAATGTTTGGGGAGGGTGTACTAGATCCCTAATACCTTGCTTTGTTGAAATGAATAGGTATATCTTGTTGCTCCTCAGAAATGAAAATGATTATCTGTAACCCCATGGAACACATTCCTTAAAGGGGCATGAAGTCAGCAGGACAGAGATGAGCCAGTCACCAGTTAATTTACTGACCAAGGGCAGGAGATACACTGTGGAGACACCTTGTTGCTGGCCAAGCACCAGGAGATAGCTTTTTGCTGACCAGGGCCAGCAGATACCCTGTCACTTTCCCTTCACTTTCTCCTGTCTAATTCCTCTGTCTGGTCCCTGTGCCCTGGGAGCTCCCCAGCATCACCCTGCCAGCACCCATCCTGCCCAGGATCCCAGTGAACCTGGTGTCTCAGCTCTGTGTGTGCATTGGACTCCACAAACTGGCTCAGGAATCCATTTTTGGGACGACACAGTGTTCCTACTGGCTGTCTAGAGGGTTTACTTTCTCTTTTCAATTGCTTCTAGAAGCCTCCAAAGATGTGCAGCTTTCCACATCAGCTTAACTGAAACCCCAGCCAAAACTGTCACTTTGTTTAAAAAAATAAATCTTAATTTGACCGCTCCATTTTGGGGTAGATAAAGATTTCCCCCTTGCTAGGTGGTCTCACCTCCTGAACTCACTCTCCACAGACATGCCAGGTACTGACAGAATTCCCAAATAGCTGAGGCTGGAAGGGACCTCTGGGGACTGTCCTGTCGAGCCCTTCTGCTCAGAGCAGGGTCAGGTAGAGCAGGCTGCTCAGGACATTGTCCAGCTGGGCTTTTGAATACCTCCAAGGACAGACACTCCATTCCCATGGCTGACCACACCTTCACAGTAAAACCTTCTCTCTTGGGTTTAAATGCAGTTTCCTGTATTTCTGTTGATGCCCAGCACCATGTATCCTCTCAGTGGATAGCACTGCTTATATCCTCTGTCCCTGTCAGGTATTTGTGTGCATTGATAAGATTCCTCCCCCAGCTTTCTCAGCCTCTCCTTCTAACCTTTTTTAATAATCACAAGTACTGGCACGTTTTGTGCTTTGCAGATGCCTGTTACTTGGAACTGAGTTCTCAATTCACAGAAGATTCTCTGCCTTGAGCCACATTAGCAAATTCATTAGAGACCACTTGCCACTGGACAACCTTCTGCTGCTTGAATTTCTACTGCTTTTGAATTTGTTGATCAGTGCTTACCACATTTCACAGAGCAGGAGAAATATGGGAGACATGAAGTTCCTGCAAGGTTCTGTGAGACTATGCAGCCAACTGGGGATAAGGAACCCTTGTTACACCCTCACTGAGGTCTAAGGAACTACCAATCTAGTTTAAACTTTCTTAGATAGTTCTGTCACATCAAGAGGATCAATCATGGTGCAAAGCCAACAAAAACTAATCATTGTTGGCCTCACTGCCATGGAAGTACTTGTCTGGATTCAATTCTCCATGAGCAGTGCCTGTACATGAAGACAATAAAAAATCCTTGGATTTTACTACTAATAATAGAGAATGTGAGGTTTAATTTCACTTTGAATGGTGTTTTTCAAGGCAACTGATAGCTAAAATGAGCAAAAGGCTTATTAGTAACTGAAGCAAGACAATCAACTTGTAAATAACAATCTCTGTTGAAGTATTGATGCATACTTTCATGTGCTGTTGTACTCATGTTTTTCAGATCCCTGTTAAACATGTACAATATCACAAGGGGATTCTATTTTAGACTATTTATAAACTATTAATATAAAAAAACGCTGCTGCTCTCCAATCTGGCAGCAAGAGTTTGTTTGATCTCTGCTGTTGTTTGAGGGCACTGTGAGGCTGTATCAGAGGGGTGCCTCTCCAGCAAACAATGAAAGGATTCCTTCATATTACATCATACACCCGTTTAAAAGACCTTCAAAAATCAGAGAAATGGATTGGGAAAACATGTCACACAGTTCAGACTCAGTAAATGGGATACATAAACTGGATCAGACTGAGGCACATGAATAATACTTTAGTCCTGCCCCACTCGAGTGTAAATACAGTTGTGGTACCACGTCCAGTTTTGAACACTTAAAGATGTGGGCAAATTGGGTGGAATCCAGAAAAGTGCAGTGAGAATGATTATAGATTTTTGCAAGCAGGACCTACAGGAAAAGATGGAAAGAATTGAGGTTGTTTAGTCTAGAGAAGAGAAATTTGGAGGAGAAACAGTGTAACAGCCTTCAGAGACATAAAAGGAGAAAAAGAAGAATCTTTTCTCTGCAACCAGTATGTAATGAACCTAAACTGGAGCAAAGCAAAAGTGGGTTAAACACAGGAAAAACTTTGAGGAAGGATAAATGAAGTGTTGGAACAAATGGGCTGGTGGGAAGCGACAGAATGGCCATTAGCAGAAGGGTGGGCGAGTTGTTGGGGTTCAGGGGGGTTGGTTGTTTTTTAAAAACAGGTTCATCAAATATGTTGATCCTGTTCTGAAGCAGGGGCTGGACTAGAGGATCCCTTCAGGTGTCTTTCAACCATATTTTCTGTGATTGTGTTCAATGTAACAAAACAAATGGCTGCTGGAAGTAGGGAGTGGCATTTTCCTTGTGCAGAAACAGACCATAGGGGTTGGGACGTGACCTCTGGTGGGTGGCTGCTGTGTCCTCCAGTGTTTACACCCTTATTTGATAGAGTTATTTGTGTGTGTTCCAGTATTTTGTCAGTGATCTTCACGGATAAAAATGAGTGTCACTGCGTGAGAATAAAATGGTTTTGTTGGGAAGTTGTAGTTCATGTTATCCCATGAGCATTTTTTTAAAAAAAACCCTATAATAATATAAAAATATTATGGTAGATAATAGTGAATGCACTCAAATGGAACTTGAAAGCTCTGATAGCTCCTTAATTATCCTCTCATACCTCCTGTCCTGCCTTTTCCATCTTACCTTTTTTCACCTGGGCAGTTTTAACTGTCCTGCTGTTGACATCTGTGATGAGTAGGTGTGCATATTGTTCATTCATATACACACATTCCTTCTCCCCCTTGCAAAGGGGGACAAATTTTCTAATTCTGAAGTTTTGATCTGCTTTTGTTTGATATCTGTCAAGTTCCCAATGTTGTAGAACATTTGAAAGCTGGTGAAATAAATTTATTAGAGCCACAAGCCACAGTATGTGCAGGGGCTTATGGGTTCGGCTGCCTCTTTTTTATTTGTGAGTCTTTACAAAAAGAGAATTGAGGAAGGTCTAACGAGAGGAAAAAATAATATAAGGATGAAGAATCAAATTGGCTACAGGGTTAGGCAGCTTGTGCACCATTGTGAAAGTTGCATTTTGAAAGGCAGCTAACAGAACCCAGCAGAAGGCCCTTGTTAGATGCAGCGATGTGCAGCAGCCACTCCTCTCAGCCTTTCATTCCTGAGGCTTCTTCAGCTGCGTCAGGCAGGAGGACAAAGTGTTCTGTACACTGATCTGACCTTGTTAAAATGCAGCATCTCCCTCCTTACTTTCCCAGCCCCAGCACAGAGTAGTGCTGCTCGGCTGCCAGCCCAAGCGAGCCTGAAGCTCCCTCTACTGTTGGCCTCTGTAAAGATGACTCTTAGAGTTGAGGTGATTTAAACCAAAACCACCTTTTAGAGCAGAAAAAGAAACATCTGCTTATACAGGAGCTGGTGAGGTTTCTGTGTCACGGGAGGGAACCAGACTGTCCATCTGGGGTTTCAGGCTGTTTACATGTGGAAGTGATGTCTTCATTTGTTATCTCTGTGGTAATCATACAGTATTAGTGAGAACCTCACATCTATATACTGCTGATGAGTTGAGCCATTTCTGTAGCAGTATACATCTCAGCTGTAGATTTATTTTTTTTTTTTACCAAAGTGAATTTTGATTAAATTCAAGCAGCTTGTAAAGAAACAGCATCACACTAATCCATTCATTCCTTCAGTGAGGCTTTGTCTTGCGTGTAAAGAACTGATTGTTGCTTTCATATAGTCGCCATAAATTATTGTTTTTCTTACTAAATGGTTTTAGAATTATCCATATTGTAATGAATTTAGTCTTTAAAGCAACTCACCAAAGACAATTCAAGTCAAGTTTAATATCCAGGATAATTGTGAAAAAACTAGGTGAGTGTTGCTTTGAAATGTAGCTTAGTTGGTCTTTTGTAATGATGCTGTAAGGGTTTTCTAGTGAATGTGGACATCTGTGGAGTCAGCAGCTTATAAGAGGGAAAGTCTTTTCAGGAAAAAGATCTCAAATGTGACTATTAAGAACAAATATAACATTAATGCTTAATTGATATTGCAGGAGAAAGTGGATGCTCTCAGAGCAGTGTGAGCCATTCAGCTGTACAGGAGGGGACAGTCAGTGTACACAGTCCAAAGAAATCAGGCAAGATTACTCCAAAATTTCACAATCAGATGGTTCACCGTGTCTGGAAGGAATGCATCCTCAACAGATCACAATCCAAGTAAGGCACCAGTCCTGATGGTTTTGTTTTCTAATAGATATTAATAAACATAATATACACATAACATACAGTTTAAATTGTAATAGTTTTGCCTTAGGTGATGTTATTCCTCATAGAATTCTTATCCCACTAATCAAAGCTAATGATGCAGAACAGCACTGTCACAGAAAATTTGTTACTGCGTTCAGCTGAGAACTCCTAACACTTTACAACCTCTTTGCAGTTGTGTAGCTTCGTTGTGACAGTCTTTCAGGTTACAAATCTATCTTATGTGCCTTCAGCTAGATGTTTCCGGGTTTACTGATTGCAGTTTCTAGCTCCAGTTGTACTAGACTGGAAGTTGGGTGACTGAAGAACAAAGAGTATGTATTTGATGTTTAGAACTCTGAGGGTACTGTTCGTAACACAGCACAGTACATGTCTTGGACTAAAATGTCAATTGACAAGGATATTGTAAATTTATGTTGTTAGTATCATAGGCCTTTATTATTGGAAGTTTGAAGTATATTTGTAGCATGGTGTGCCCTGGAATCTTTTATTTTTCACTAATTCCATGTGATTTCCTCATTTGATATGTCAGAAGAATATTCAGATTCAATTTAAATTGCTCGCCTCTTGCTTCTTGTGCTCAAACCTCTGATGTAGAGCTGGTACCATCCTCCCACATAAATCAAACTGTAAGTTTTGAAGAGAGATAGGGGGAACTACTGTTAAACACAGAATTCAGTTTCAAAGGTGAAGCAGAAGGAAGTAATTTATTTGAGGGGAACATGTGAATTTATGCATAGGCCTTTTAAAATTTTGTTTTACAAAATTATAACCACTGAAATAAATTTTTTCTTCTTCAGGAGGAACCAAATCACAACTGCAAATTTGGAAGAGGAAGGTCCTAACAACACTGTTTCTTGGGATTTTGTGGATCCAGTCCAAAGAGTCAGTTGTTCTTGCTCCAGGTGAGCTTTGAGGAGAGTAAGCATTTATCCTGTTGGAAGAGCCCTGCTGAGTTCAGGCAGAGATACACTTAGAAAAAGGAGTTAGGCTTTAGCTGAGAGAGGAGGGAACTCTAATATCAGCACTGGGATCATCACTCGTGTTCAGGTGATTAATATGCACCTCCTATCACTGCCACTTGCAGCAGTCAGCTTGAGTGGAAAGATGATGCTAGATTAGAGAATGGAGGTTAGAAACACTCCAAGGTTTCTCAGTGGTAGTGACCTGGTCCTTCAGGCTTTGCAGAGGTGTGAGCTTTAAAGACTCGTGCTGGAGCTGCCTGAGTTTAACAGCATCCTGACTGGGGCTACTGTCCCTCTTTGGAGAGTGAGGAAAAATATCCCTAATATCCCTTCACTCTCTACCTCCAGGCAGTCTGCCATGAGTCTTCAGACACCAAAAAACACCAAAGACAATATAAAGGTTTTGCAATGTGGTCATCCACTGTCAACAGATCAAAAAGAAAGAAAAAAAAAAAATCAGAAATGCTGGAAGAATTAATTAAATTATCTGTCATTTTTGATGAATACTTAACATTCCAGTATTGCTCACTCAGAAAAGCAGAGGAGCACCACCAGTTCTGCTTAACCATACCTAAAATTACCAGAGAGATGTGTCAGGGCTAGAAAAGACAGTTTCCAGTGAAACAGTCCCATGAAACTGCTTCTGCTAAAATTTTTAGTTCTTAAGGTCTCCATATACCTATAAGATGGGTAAAGATGTTTTTGTGACCTAAAAAAGTTATTCCTTAAGTATGTCCTTTATCTGATCAAACAGGAACAGTGATTGTGCTGGCCTAATCCCTCTGAGTTTTGGGGTTTATTGCCTATCTTGTCCCCCCCACCCTTCCCCAGCTGCAGTGAGGGTCTTTGCCAAAATAATAGTCAACAGCAAGTGGTGTGGCTGAAATGAGTCTCTGATTCTTGTCTGTTTGAGGCATAGCAGTTTTTTTCCTTTGTTTTTCTTTTGACAGCAAGACAAACTGGAGAATAATGATACTGCTAATAACAGTAAAATGAATATACTCTTTAACCAAATCCTTAAAAGTATGACTGGCCACAGCAGTCTGTGCAGAGCTTTCTGTATAGATTTGGCTGTACAGAGAAATGTAGAGAGTTGGGTGTTCTCACAGTCTCCAGAGTTATCAGAGGTGTCCACTGTCCGCAACTGAATGAAGCACATTGTACCTTTTGTGTTTGACTTCTCATGGAGCCAGTTCTCCTTTGTGTATTTAGAAGAGGCAGCAAATGGATGTGGAAGAATTGTGGATCATATGGAGGGCAGAAGATTCAACCTGGAAACTCTGTGGTGTATCTGAAGTGAAAGTTTTGCTCTTCTGCAGCCTTGCTCTTTACTAAACCCTGATTATATGTTGCTTGTATGGATTTACTCCAGAATGCAGAACAGATTGATGTTTTGTCAGGGTGCCAAGTGTTTCCCATGGAAAACTGAGGCCCAGCTTTGCCTGGAAAACACAGGCAATCAATAGTGGACAACAGAAACCTGATTCTGTGGATAGGTTCAGCTGCATTTCCAATTTCACACTGGCTCTTACACCTACATCATACCAGAGTTAGTAAACAGCAAAATCAAAACGTTATCCTTAAAATGAAGGTGGTGCCTGATTCCACACAGCAATAAGAATTCTCAGTATAGCTGCAGAAGCTGGTCAGCTGTGGTCATACAGAGATTATTTCAGTCATTGCTGTCCCCATTTTACATGTTCTATAAATGAGAATAGAAATGTCTAGGTGGGATCTTAAATACAGAGTCTTAAAGGGTTGTCTGGTAGTCAGCATCAAATCCAATCTTCTGCAGACCCACTTTGTGTGCTGAGGAAGAGAATGTCTGAAATCATTTTCTGTGGTCAGTTAAAGTACAGTGAATGATGGAGAATTAAGTCAATGAAATGTTACAAGAACATGCTTAAGGCAAATCTTCAGTTGCTAGGGCATTAGCTCCACGTTCTGGGTGATTGCAGCTACAGACCATCTGCTGCAGCAGGGAATTTGCAGCATGTCCTGGTAACAGCAGAGCCCACAAAGGAAACCAGGGCAAGATCAGACAACATGGATGGATACAGGGAAACGAGGCAGTGAGTGCAAGAAGTTGTATTTGTACCATCTGACAGCTGCTGTGTACTGTAAAACTGGGATGTTTTCCTAGATAAGCCAGAAAAGCAGAATTTGTTGTCTTCAATCTGGTAGCCCACTTTCCTTGCAATAATGTGATTTTTCTTTGTGAGTAAAAAGCCTATTATTACATGTTTTGAAAGCTTTTGTTGCTGTCCTAGATATTGTTGTTTACAAAAAAAAAAAAAAACCCAGGGATGGAGTGATTTATTTGGAAATGGCAATTAACTTTAAACAGGTATAAATATTAAGCACAAGACATCTTTCCATTTCTGCTTAGCTTAAAAAACCCAAACAAACAACTAAACAAAGAACCCCAAACAAGAAATGCCACTAAAATATAGATATCCCTGTTGTAACATCCTTGGAGCCTATAAATTACATGGTGAAAATACTGTTTAGCAGTACCCTAAGTACTGAAATTTAGTCCTGTGCTTCCCAGTCTCGAAGATACTGGATACAAATTAAAAAAAGCCATATTAAAATATGAAGCCCCTGCTAAGTTTGTATGTTACTGCATTTCTGGTTTTGAATATTTAAAAATAGGTATTTGAGCTTCCTTCATCAGTTGGTACTTGGTTTATTGTTTGGTTTGGTTTTGAACTAGAGCTGTCCTTATTTTTCCTTATCTGATACAGAGGAGGAAGCTGCCAGGGAAGCATCCAGCCATGTGATCCAGCTTCTGTGAACACAACCAAACTGATTCCAATCTGTGTCTTGGGTAGCAGATGCTGAGGAGTGTGCAAGCACAGTGGTGCAGTTCCCCAGTAGTTGCTTTAGCTGGAAGGATATCTTTCTGTAGGGTACTGAAAGCAGCATCTGAGCAGCAGCAAGCTCTTATAAACCTGAAATCTTTCCTTTAAATGTTCTTTTCTGGAGACTGCCATTTAGCCTTTGATAGGTCAGTGGCCTATCTGGCTGGAACGGTGTGGTCTGGATCAGGTGACCATCCCAGAATCTGTCAGAAGATCAGCAACAGACACCAGATTTCTCAATGCTCTTCTTTGGGTTGGGTTTTCTTTTTGTTCCATTAGATCAGATAAGCATACAGACCATGCAGTGACTTGTTTCTGCCTCTGCTTCCAGGCACAAGGTTTTCAAACAGCGTTGTGCTGCTGGCTCCAGCCGTCCCCCGACGATAAATCAGCCGGGATTCAACGTGGGAACATCATCATCCTCCTCCTCCTCATCTTCAGCATTGCCACCTCCCGCCTCCTCAAAGCACAAAACAGCAGAGAGACAGGAAAAAGGAGATAAACTGCAAAAAAGGCCTATGATGCCATTTCACCATCGACCCTCTGTGACTGAAGAGCTATGCATGGAGCAGGACACGCCGGGGCAGAAGCTGGGGCTGGCAGGCATGGAGCCCTCTCTAGAAGTCCCCAGTTCCAGAAAATACGAGAAGCCGCTCTCTCTACCTGCTCGAAACCCAAGCAAGCCAATGAGTATGAATCCTATGGATTCACCCCGTTCCCCCACCTCCCCTCTGCCTCCCACGCTCAGCCCTCAGCCCAGAGGTCAGGAAGCAGAGAACCTGGACCCACCTTCTGTACCAGTGAACCCAGCACTCTATGGCAGCGGGCCGGCGGTAGGACAGTCCTGGTTGGACAGAGGTTGCCTCTGATGGCAGAGGTCAGTGAGACAGCATTATACTGTGGGATAATCCAGAACAATGAGTCGCCAGACATGTGGAGGGCCTATAATGTCCCGTTAAGTGACGACCTGGAGTTCAGGCCACCAGATCTCCCGTGTGAGAGATACGATGCCAAGGTGGAAATGAACTCGGACAGCACTGCACTGAAAAGGTAAGAGTGCCAAGGGATCTGAGAGGAGGGTCTGCTGAATGATAAGCATGACCAGACTCTGTTGGCAGTTGAAACTGGAACAGTAGAAGGCTTCACTGTGGCATCAGACGTGAGGTAAACTAGAGCCAACGTTAAACACTTCACTAGAAATGTGCTGTTGTGGTATGCCCTCTTTTCTTCATATCTAGTTTTCTGCTGGATGTTATAAGAACTGATAAATATTTTGTAACCTATATCCAGAGAGACCTTAACAGGCTTGAGAAATGGGCCAGTGCAAGCTGCAGGAGGTTCAACAAGTCAAACTGCAAGGTCCTGAACCTGGGCTGGGCCAATCCCAGGCACAATCACAAACTGGGTGCAGAGCTGGTTGAGAGTAGCCCTGAAGAGAAGGACTTGGGAGTGGTGGTTGATGAGAAGCCTGGAAGGCCAACCGCATCCTGGGATGCACCGAGAGGAGTGTGGCCAGCAGATCAAGAGAGGTGATCCTGCCCCTTTACTCTGCTCTTGTGATACCCCACCTCAGTTACTGCATCCAGTTTTGGTGTCTCCACTGTAAGAGGGACAGAGATCTGTTGGAATGAGTCCAGAGGAGGGCCACAAAGTTGATCCAGGGGCTGGAGCATCTCTGCTGTGATAGGCTGAGGGTACTGGGATTGTTGAGCCTGGAGAAGAGAAGATTCCAGGAGGACCTTGCAACTGCAAGGCTGCAGAGGGACTTTTCTCAAGAGTGTCCAGTGACAGGGCAAGGGGGAATAATTTTAAACTGAAGGAGAGTAGGTTTAGACTGGATCTTATGACGAAGTTCTTCAGTCCAAGGGTGACCAGACTCTGGACTGGATTGCCTGGAGAGGTTGTGGATGCCCCTCCCTGGAGATGTTCAAGGCCAGGTTGGATGAGGCCTTGAGAAACCTGGTCTAGTTGAGAGGTCATGGCAGGGAGGTTGATTAGGTGGTCTCCAGGGTCCCTTCCAACCTAAGCCATCCTATGATTTTATGGTGATGACACCAATTTGAACGAATATAAGGGTTTCATTAAGCTTACATCTTTTGATCACTTAAAGAAAGAACATCTGTGTATGGTTGTGCCACATTCCCAGCTACATAAATGCTGGGGTTTGGGTGAAACTCTGTTCTTGGCTCTGTAGAGGCACTTCAGTGTGGCTCATCCAACTGGGGGGGGGGTTAAAATTGCCCCATACCAGGCTTCCTGTAGTAGTAGCTGATAAGATACTGTGGGATAATGCTGCTCTGTTGTAAGCCCACTGTCAGGTTATTGAAATGGCCAGAAGCTCCACTGTTAACTTCAGTCTCTACAGGACTGGAGCTGAGCACCCCAACAGTCTCTCTGGGCTGTACACAGGGAAGAGTAAATGCTCATCTCATGTCAATGCTACCATAGAAAAACTACTGTTAACAGAAATGTCTTCTTCAGTGAAGAGCATAAACTACCTAAATATTAAGGAATTTTTAGCTGTCTGTTTCTTTTTTCCTTTATATTTTTAAAGATGGATTTTCTGTTATACAAAGATATTTATTTTTAACTTTAGCATGAAAATATGAATTAATTTTATGCCAGCCTGAAAGTTACTTTCTGCATTCTGACGATGCATAGAAAAAATGTATCAAAAATTTGTTAATACAAATGTAGAAGCTAAAGTTGATTGAGGAGTAAGTTTTGAGTTATGACAACATTGATTATTGGCAACTACAATGGAGTTTGCTAGGCTCAAAAAGTTATGTGTACTTCAAGGTGTTTTGATGTATATAATGACAACATTAATTCTTTTTCATTGTCCCAAAGTAGTTCTTAAAACAGTACACTGTTTAATACTAAATTTAGGCAAATGCATCCTTTATTTGAGGAAAAACCCCATATTTCTGCTGGGTTAAGGAGGATGGAGTGAGACAGGGGCTGTGTTTGTGTGTGACAGCTCCAGATCTCAAGAGCTGTTACTTTCCTTTGCTGTGAAGGTATTTTGGGTTTGCTTCGTGATGGTTTTGATTGGTTGTTTATTTTTCCTTTCAGGCTCTTAGCACAACCTAATAAACGGTTTAAAATTTTGGAAGAGCAGAAGCCAGTGCAGACACTGAACTATCTTGACCCCCTGTCACTCATCCAGCAGCCTGGAGAAGGCTTGGGAGACGCGAGTGATCCTTACACTTTTGAAGATGGTGATATAAAGTACAGCTTCACTGGCAATAAAAAATGCAAACTTGGGGCTGAGAAAGATCCTCTGAAGAAGAACAAGGTAACATGGAAATCCAGAGTCTTTATCATTAATGTTCTCACTGGGCTTCTAGTACTGTAGCACAGTATTTGCTTTCAGCCCTCAGGAAGACACAGGTCAAAATCAGAGAGATGGTTTATTTCTTTCCTGCACAGGATAAAAACTTTGTTTCACTTTGGTATTTTTGAACTGGTATTTGCTGGCATCCCTCTGAACCTGTTTGGGTATGAAAACATTCCTCTTGCAAGGGGGGTGCTTCCTGTGTGTTTCTATTCAGCTTGACCAGAAGCAGGTTCCAGACTTAAGCAAGGCAATAAAATACTTTGAGTGTTATCTTCACTTGTAGAGATGTAAGAATTTTCTGGGCTTTTTTTTTTCCTTTCTTGCTTCAGCTTGAGCTATCACCTCACTGCAAAGCTCAGATCACCCTCAGTAGGTTCACAAGTGACACCAAATTGAGGGCCAAGGTCAACTGTGTGAGGTTGAACAAGGCCAAGGGCTGGGTCTTGCACTTGGGTCACAACAGCCCCAGGCAACACTCCAGGCTTGGGGAGGAGTGGCTGGGAACTGCCTGGAGGAAAAGGACCTGGGGGTGCTGGTGGGCAAAGGGCTGAACATGAGCCAACATGTGCCCAGGTGGCCAAGATCAGAAACAGTGTGACCAGCAGGAGCAGGGCAGGGATCGTGCCCCTGGACTGGGCACTGGGGAGGCCACAGCTGGAGCACTGGGGGCAGGTCTGGGTGCCACAGGATCAGAAAGACCTTGAGGGGCTGGAGCGGGTCCAGAGAAGGGCAACGAAGCTGGGGAGGGGTCTGGGGAACATGATTGTGAGGAGCAGCTGAGGGACCTGGGGGTGTTTAGTCTGGAGAAGAGGAGGCTGAGGGGAGAACTTCTGGCTCTCTACAGCTCCCTGACAGGAGGTTGGGGTGAGATGGGGGTTTGTCTTCTCTCCCAAGGAACCAGAGATAGGATGAGAGGGAATGGGCTGAAGTTGTGCCAGGGGAGGTTGCGGTTGGATCTTGGGCAGAATTTCTTTCCTGGCAGAGTGGTGAGGCCTTGGCCCAGGCTGCCCAGTGAGGTGCTGGAGTCCCCAGTCCTGAAGGTATTCAAAAAATGTGTAGATGGGGCACCTGGGGACATCGTTTAGTGGTTGTAGTAGTGTCGGACTGATGGTTGGACTTGGTGATCTTAGATGTCTTTTCCAACCTTGATGATTCTGTGATGTCTCCAGCCCAAGTTTATTTTTCTTCCCTTGGGCAAAATTTTAGTGTAGCCTTCGGATTGGGTTTGAACATTTCCTTGGGGTGTTCTGTATGTGGAAGAAGACAATTTGATCACCATTTTTTGCTCATCACCTGCCCTGTATGCATGATACTTCAGATGTATCTTGTCCATTATGGAGCTGTGTCACTGTCTGGCTACTGATTTGCTTTTCTGCAAGTAGCCACCACTCTTAAAATTCTAGAAGATGGGTTTTCAGGAGAAACTGAGGTGGCTAATTATCTGTAGTGGCTATGGAAGTTAACCAATGTGTGGAATCCTTTGTAAACCATACACAAAGTTACTTCATATTTTCCTGGTACGTAGATAAACAGCAGAGAACTCTGTTCTTTCCCCTTCTTAATTTTTTTTTTTTTTTTGCTTCTCAAAGCATTTAATCCAGAGCCTTGAGTTTGACTTGACATAGGAAAACAGCTGTTCTTACAGAGCTTAAATTAACAGCCATTAAAAACTCTTGGATTTTTTATTTGTGTAGTCAGAAGATGGAATTGGTACCAAGGAAATTCCCACAACGGGTCACTCTACACCAGTTCCTGATGGAAAAGATGCCATGTCTATTTTCAGTTCTGCTCCTAAGACCGGTGAGTGAAAGCTCTTTAATTCTCTCTGCAGAGCTAAAATACTCAAAGCTATGCAATGAAATCTGAAAGAAATCACACTGAACATTCTACTGTAACGTGAGAGCTATAGACAGCTTCTGAGATGGAAAAAAACTTGCTTCTGCTTGTCCTTTTTGTAGTAACATAATTACTTAATTGTTTTTAGAGTATTAAAATTGAGCAGTAGATACCTTCAGTCTTTCCTGATTGACCTTCAGTGTTGCTCAGAAGTTGACTACAAGGCTACTTCTAGGCTACATCATAGAAAAGGGGACTCAGTGATGCTTGTTTGTTCCTTCTTTAGAGTGGGAAATAAAATTGAAAAAAGGCAATTTTGTGTTTCTTGCCTTGGCTCACATGTTTCCTGTGTTTTTTTCCCTTTTTTTTTTTGACAGATACCCGGCAAGACAATGCTGCAGGCAGAGTGGGCTCTGGTAGCCTCACACAGGTGACAGATCTGGCACCGTCGCTTCATGATCTAGATAATATCTTTGATAATTCAGATGAAGATGAGCTTGGTGTAAGTTTTTACGGGACTGAGTGTTCTGTAGAACAAAAAAAAAAGAGGAGGATGGAATCCTAGTGGGGAGCGATGCTCCCTAGGAGATAGGAGAGTCTCCAGGTAGGCAGGCTTGGGTTTGGAAAGAGTTGCTGACAAAGTGAGGTGTTCTTTCAGGAGATCCATCAAAGAGGGGAGTCATCACTATGTGTAAGTCAGGAGATCACTTGGGGGCCATCAAAGCTTGTGTTGTCTTACAGCTTTTCAGTCATGAGGGGAACCTGTATGCAGCTAACGTGCCAACTCAGGCACTGCATAGCCAGGCTATCAGAACCCTTCCATCTCAAAAGCAATGTAGCTGCTTTTTACATGTATTACATCTGGGTTTGTGTCCTTAGCACTTGTCAGTGTTTGAGAGTTACAGAAAAGATCCTAGTTTCATTAACACGGGATTTGATCTTTCACCTTGTCTGAGAAGCTGCCCAAAGAAAAATGAATTCAACCTTTCTGAGTCTGAGTAATTCTCTGAAGCATGTTTCTTTCTATGCCTACAAGCAGTTTATTTCAGTGCAAAGAAGGAATAGTTATCGAAATATTAGGAAACAGAAAAGGAAAAGCAGATTTACTTCAATTACCAGGAAAAAAAAAAAAAGACACATGGAAAAGGGAAGCTTTGAATGATTACTATTTTTAAGCTTAATCTGATACAGCCAGAACGATACAGAAAGTGATCCTAAACTGGCTGATAGAAGGTAATAGCGTTTAAAAGTCTAACATCTGGCTTTCGGCAGTACTTTCCAAGTCCACCAAGTTATTTACCACTTCTCCCTGTTCTTTGATTCCACACAAACTGCACTTAACATGTCACAAATCTACGAGAGCACTGGTCTGTCAGAAATACAAAAAATTACCTTTTTCTCTGAAGTTGGCCTGGACAAACCTGTTATTTTTCCTGTCTTAAAACTTGTATGTGTTGAGGTGTCCCCTGTTTATGAAATTGTTGCTCAGTCTTCTCAGTAGAGAAGTTAAGAGTAGTCCAAACATGGTATTAAGTAGTGACAGTGGTTTCAAGCTCAGTGTTTGTGATAACATTTTCAATATCAGTTACGTGCCTATAGTTATTAAGGCTTATATGTCTATGTCTATATATATCTGGGAGGGGTACAGGCAGGCAGATATTTCAAAGATCTTTTTTCTTTTGGTGTTGAAAAAGGGGAGAAAATAAGTACACTTTTTCTTTCTTGTAAATTCTCATTCAGAGAGCTTTCAGAATTTTTAACAGATTACGAATAATAATATTTGGGGGTTTTTTTGTTTTTAATATTGTATGTGATTATTCTGCTTTTAGGCTGTATCACCAGCTCTTCGGTCCTCCAAGTTGCCTGCAGCAGGGTCTGAGGAACGCCCCGTGGGGAAGGATGGCAGAACAGCAGTTCCTTACCCACCAAGTGAGTGGCAACGACTGGTTAGCACCATGCTGACAGTTAAAATCTCCTCACAGCTACCACACGGCCTCTTTGCAGGAGGCTTACAAAGTCACTTTTTCAGGACTAAGAGGTCGTGTGCTGCTTTTGTTCTGCAGTTACCAGGTGCCAATATTAAAAGGGGATAAGCAGATTTTAATGAAAACAGTGGATGGTAATGTAGAGGTACAGGTTTTAATGTGCCTGCTGAGATTTGAGATGCTCTTCTTTTGACATTATTGTCTTGGATTGGAAGCGTGGGAGGGATTTGTTACAGATCTTCATTTAAAAGCTATCCACTCTTCTCAGTTCAGTGTTTAATCTCAGTCACACCATTACCATATCCCTCTAAAGAGTATAAATAACTCTTTTTAAAGAATTCAGAGAATTTAAAGCTGTGACTTACCAATTGGCCATTATGGTGCAGCCTGTCTTGGAAGAAAACTGCATTCAGCATTTGACAAATTCAGGCTAAAATCACTTTCAGGGTTTAATCTAGATGTGGAAGTGCATGATTAAAATTGAAGAACTAGTTTCTAACTGGAGCCACGTTGTATTCCTTTTACAGGTTATGGCAGAAGCAATGCTTGTGCAGGCACTGCTCGTGTACAAGGAAGGCTGCAAGAGTGCAGGAAACTTAGAAAGTAAATTTACTATGCTGAAAATGTATGAAACATTAAAACAGTAGGGCTTTTTTATAAGAACTGTGCCACCAGCTCCTGGGAATGATGGCTTGTACTGCCTGAGATACATGGGCTGGCATTTCTTGCACCTGACAAGGTGCTGGAGGCTGGAGTCAGGTGGGGGTCAGGCTCTTCTACCAAAGAACAAGCGACAGGACAAGGTGAAAGGGCCCAAGTTGTGCCGGGGGAGGTTTAGGTTGGACCTGAGGGATAGTTTCTTCCCTGCCAGGGTTGTCCAGGGCTGTGCCAGGCTGCCCAGGGCAGTGGTGGAGTCCCCACCCCTGGAGGGGTTTCCAAGCTGTGGAGATGTGTTGCTGAGGGACACGGGGCAGTGGGGAGCTGGCACTGCTGGGGGATGATCTCAGAGGTCTTTCCTATGGTTCTGTTTATATAGGTGGCATTTCTCTTGAGATCAGAGAGATGTGTGGATGTGTGAGAGGAGGAAGCTGAGAAATTTTGGTGTAATACTAACTAATCAAGTTATGAATTACAAATGTCTTAGTGATGAGGAGGAAGAATGTTTGATTTTTGTGGCCTCTATAAGCAGAAATCACATCTCTCTGCAAATCATTCTTTAATGCCTTCTCATTAACTTGAGCTGGTAATGAGAACAAATTGAGGAGAAGAAAAAAAAACAGTCTGAAGGAGATGAGTCAGAGTTTTATGGACCCATAAAAGCTGTGCTGATTTACTCAAATGCAGAAGACTGAAGTGTACAGAGATTGGATTTTGACAGGTTTAGTTGATCCATAGCTTTTTAAAATATGCAAAGCTTTTTCAACCATGACACACATGAAAATGAGTGATGACAGTTAGCCTGTTGCTGTAGGGTTGGGGGATTTTTTGTAATTAAAATTTTTTTATGAATCTGCACTGCAGAATTTTGCTAACTGGAGAGAGCTTGAGTAAGAGAAAATGATACATTATGGAGCTGTGTGAAAGGAGTTAAACAGATATACTCCACTTCTGTTCTGTAGCTCTCACCTTGTCACCAGCTGTGGAGGTATCTGCTGGCAACTGAAAAGCCTTCTACATAATGATCAAGTCCTACTGACCATGTTTCATTTTAACCTTCCTTCCTGCCCCCCTTTCTCCAGTTTCTAAAGCAAACTTCTCTCTGTTGAAAAACAGAATCCAGTTGGCATCCTGCAGATTATATTATATACATTATATTTTGTATATATTAATCCTGAAGATTATATTATGTTCTATTTCCTACTAGCATTGGGTGGCAAAAGAGTTTTTTCCATTCTTCTGACCCTGTTTTCAACATTAATTTATCCTGTATCAGAGTGAAGTTTTTTAAATTCAAAGACTGGGAAAGGATAAAAAAAAAAAAAAGAAAAAAAAAAATCAGAACTGAGTGGGAATAATTCCTAGCCTGTTATTTGCTACTCCAGGTGGTGAAAGACTTTGGGTTCAGCTTTGACTGTTACTACCAACAAAACTACCATTTGGAGGCAACTTCACCTACTTGAGTTGTTTCATTTTGTCTTAAGAATTGAATAGACCATCTAATTTCTGTGCACAAAAGAAGGAAATTCAGGTTTGGGTTCTGTTAAGGCAGAGTGGAGACATATCTTGAGGTTCCAGCATCCTACTAAAACATGCTGTTAGCATATGTATTGGTATACTATATATAATTTTAATTCCATCACCTACTTCTATTTTTTTTTCCAATTATTTTTTGAGAGTAGTGCTGTTTCACCACTTTGGATTTCCACAACACAGTGTTTACTAATTGCAAATCCATTTGTATTTACTTATGAATTTTCCAGAACTTTAGGCAGCCATAGTTATGTCTTTGTGTCCTCTCAGCTGGGGTTGGATGGATGGATAGGAGTGGGAGTGGAATTGGGCATTTAGTCAATCAGAAAAAGAAGTATTTAAGAAGAGACATCTAGAGGAATTTACCGTTCTCTAGTTTGGGTATTTTAACAATGAATTTAACAGAGTGATAGTTATGGCCAGAGAGTATCTCTTCCTAATTCAGGTCAGGAAAAGATAGCATATATTCTGATTTTTAAGCAAAATAAATGTGGAAGTTGGTAGCCACAAGGAAAAAGAATGTAGCTGGGGAGAAAATACAAGACTTTGTTCTGATTATTGTTTGATTGTGTTGCACTAGATATGATGATGATTACATTGCATCCATTTGCTGAGGCATAATTCAAGGATTTTCCTGGCTTAATGTCTTGTGATGCAGAATGATAATTTTGTGGCTTCCTCTGACACTGGTCACTTTTGGGTGCCTGGCAGTCTGATGCTGAGGGAAAACTGCCTGTGTTTGTGTTAGCAACAGGGGCCTGTCTACTCTTCAGGGATGAGGTCGCTATGGACCAAATGAGACTACAATGACTGTATGTCAGTGGAAAAATGCAGCTAAGTGCTCACTGATTCCCAAAGCCTCCCATTTCAGGGCTTGGAATCAGCTCTGAGAGAGGGAAGAAGCTACTCTGGATCTCCTTAGTAACAGTTGCTGGGGTGAACTTTGCGTTCATGGCAATTAATCTCTTCTACTACAAAATTTTTCGTTGTTGCTGCTACTGTGCATAGAATCTGTGTAGCTACCAGTTTGTTGTTTCTGTTGAACAATAAGCTTGCCAAGTATCCCTCAGAATTTTTGGAATTTATCCCTAGGAGTTAACTTTTCATCTAGATTTATACTGGTGTCAGAATTAGTAACGTCTGTAGAATCTTTGGGAGGCTTTAGCGGATGAAATAAGAGGTAGTGTTGAGTCAATCTCTTCTGGTTTATTGGATTTCCTTGAGAATCTGTATTTTACTGATTAACAGTGCATTCTTTCATCATATTTAGCTGTGGCAGATCTCCAGAGGATGTTCCCAACACCACCTTCTTTAGAACAACACCCTGCCTTCTCCCCAGTCATGAGTTACAAAGATGGAGTAAGTTCGGAGACCGTGACTACCTTGGGGATGATGGAAAGTCCTATGGTCAACATGGTTCCAGCACAGCTTACTGAGTTTAAAATGGAGGTGGAAGATGGATTAGGCAGCCCTAAACCTGAAGAAATTAAGGTAACGTGCCAAAGATGTGGTATTTCTATTATCTCATCTATGTGTGTTTTGATTTTTATAAACAAGTGACATGTCGTGCTTGTAGCAGATCACTTCCACAGATGAACTGGATCCATGTAAAGCACATATCAGTCCTTAGTTGGGAAAAAAAAATCTTCTCTAGTAAAAGAGCTCTTTAATTGTTTCCTTAATATTAGCTATAGGTATTTTTCTCCTCATAATTTTATGTTTGTAATGGTTTTGGGTCTTCTGAGGAGAGAAGCAATAATGTATGTGAAATGAGCCCTATGCCTAACAAATAATGTGCATATATGAAAAAAAAAAATAACCCTCACAGTTGTAGCTGTTCTGTGATTTATTTCTTCAGATAATTTTCCTGTAGCACCTTTTATGTGTAGCCCCTCCCTGCTGCCAGTCCCTGGGGATGCAGCTAGGATAAAATCATGCATGTAGGAAGGCTGCCTTTTTCTCTCTGAAATGTTGCCTTTTTTGGTTAGGGTTGAAAATCTCTGAGAAAGCCCAGGGGTTGAACTTGCTCTGTTTCTTCTTCAGCTGATGTTACTTCACAAGTTTTAAGGCCAGATGGAACCATTCTTATCTGACTTTCTGTATAACACAGGTCAGGTAATGTCACATAGTTACTCCTATATTGAGTCCTATGGTATATCTGAGTAAAGAACTATTTTTAACTGGAGACTCTGGTGCTGGGTACTAGTCCTTGCCTCCCCAACTTTACATCTCCAGATGTATCCATTTTGCCATAGCATCACATAAAAAGACTTAACATAATCACCTGGTGTACATTGGTTTGTATCCCATTGTTCCATCTTCAGCACAGGTTAAGAGGTAAGAGAAAATCATTCTGCCTGCTGGGGTGTATTCTGCATTGCTTAACTTTGGGAGCCAATTCTTATCACTTTTGTCAGAAGTTATCATTATCATATTTCCATGCTTATAGCCTGAGGGTTTTTTTTTTAATTTAAAAATGCATATTTCTGTGTAGAAATACACATCACCTTGTTCTGCAGCAAGCTTGTTTGTATGCAGGTAATAAAAAGGGAGGTACACACTGTGACTCTGTCTTCCTGGTAGTCCCCAACCCTTGATTTTGTAGCCTAATTCTTCCCCTTCAGGCCTGCCTAATCTCCTAGTGCCTTTTCCTTCTATTTCAACAGCCATTTCCCCCCGCCCCAACACCACCTTCTTGCCTCTCATTTGGTGTTCCTGTGGATGTTGGAATTATCCCAAGGCTTTTTTTTTAATGCATCTGCATTGCTGAGGGAGCTGTACACAGGAAGATGGAGCACTTGCAGATGCAGGGACAAGAAGTGGCTCTATATCAACCAGAGAATGCTGCCTTATAAATTGATCTTAGTATAAATGGCTTAGCTGTGAATTAGTAAATTTTCCTGCATGGCAGTAATAGTAAACGTTAGGCAGACCAACAGTAAAGCACAGGCAAGGCACAGGGTGGCTTCCTCTGTAAAAACACTCAGTTTTGTCCCAGGGGCAGGAGGAAGGGAGGCAGCCTGTGGCATCCAGGGGTTATGTCTCCATGAGTGTGTCCAGTCAGACCCGGGGCTCTGAGTTAAGCTGCTGCCTGCCAAGGGCCTGAGCTGGTCCAGAGCTTGTACAAACAGTTCTGTTGAGAATTAGAGACTGTGCAGAAGTGTAAGGGAGTCAGTTACCCACGTGCTCCTCATGAAGACAGTTGACCACCTGAAAGCTGGGCCTGTGGACCGTGTCTGCTGTGCTAGAGCAAGATCTCTTCTTCTATCCCAACTTCATGACCTGAAGCCATGCTGAGAAAAGCCATCTTAGAGGCTTTGCTGAAATCCAGCTGTCCATTTGCCTTGCCTAGTTATTGCAGCCACCAATTCCCACACCATTATAGGATTCTGAAATATTTTTTATAAGATTTGTAAGACTTTGCCTTGCCACAGACCTTGCTGGGGTTTTTTCTTCTATTTGTGCATAAACTCTTTGCTTAAGACTGGCATAATTTGGGCCTGGAAAGAAAATCTGTATTGGAATTTGCTGAGCTGAAAGTTTTTGAGTGGGGACAGATTTTAGGGTGTCATTGATACTGAAGATATTTTAATCTCCCTCGCAATCATTTTAGGAGTATTAAAATACATATTTGAATTCTGCCTGATAACATTTCCAGCAGCACAGTTTACTTTGCCTTTAAGTGTGTCACAGCTGCTCATGTACACCAGTGGGGGAAACAAGCACCCAAACCCATTGCTAATCATTTTGAGAACATGTAAGTAGCTTCCTTGTGCTGAGTGTCAGCAGCAGAAGATAGTACTCCACACATTTCCCATCTCTCAATGCTTTACAAGGTGCAAGGGAAAAAAATGCCAACACCTGAGATGTTAAATACTGACATTCTGAGAGAGACTACTGTTGGTATTTTAATAATGACTTTTACTTTGCAGTAGTGCCTCAAAAGGACTAGTTCTTTTCTTCTGAAAGAAGCTCAGGATAGCTCTGGAAACTCTGGCTGAAGTTCTTGTCATCATTCTCTACAAACAACCATGCCAGTCAATGCAAGTCCAGTTTGACTAGACGTCATTTGGATTTAATACTATATTTACTGGCTTGTTTATATGTTTATATTTATTATTTAGCATGCATAAGGTGTCCATGTCTTATTACTTGGATCATATTAATCCCCAGTGTGGGGGTTTTTCAGAGAGACTGACTTAAGGCACCTGGGGTTTCTTCATGCTGTGACTCAGCCTCTCTCTCCATTGTCCGTGCTGAAGCTTTGCAAAGATCAATCTTTTAAGTGCCTAAACTAGCTGCTTAAAGCCAGGTAGTATGAAAATGTCATGATACACTAGTCACTTTTCAGATGTAGTTTGTCTTAAATGAGACTAACTGTGAAATGTAGTGATATGAAAGTTGTAGAGCACCTCAGCATAGCAAGGAGCCTCAGCTGAGTTTCTTTGAAGGAACTGCTCTTGAATGTTTTGTAGAGTGAATAAATATACCTAATGTTGGGGAAAAAAAAAATGGCAGTTGTAGAAGGTTCAAATAGCAGCATAGGTTTTAATTAGAAATAAATCTCTCTAGCTAAAGAGCAGCCTTACCACAGTGTTGTAAACGGTGTCACTTGGATCTTACAGGATTTTTCGTACGTGCACAAAATTCCATCATTTCAACCTTTTGTGGGCTCCTCCTTGTTTGCTCCACTGAAGATGCTGCCAAGCCAGTGCCTCCTACCTCTGAAGATACCAGATGCCTGCATTTTCAGGCCTTCTTGGGCTGTTCCTCCTAAAATTGAACAACTTCCTTTGCCGCCTGCAGCCACTTTCATTAGGGATGGCTACAAGTAAGTACAGTCTTGTAGGACATTATTTTGTAATGCCCGTGACTAAAGTGGTTTGTTAGTTAAAACGTTTGCATAGATTAACAGAGCTTTACTACACACCAGAACCATAAAATAACCTGCAAATGTATTTTAGACCTTTTAAATTTGTCCTTGCCCATGATCCAAAAAGTTCTGACAGTAAGAACGCAGGAATTGGGAAACAGCTTTTGGAAGTTGGTGGTGTTACAGTATGTCACCTGTGAGCAAACACTGCTACTAAATTTAAAAGGTTGTATTCCTGACCCAGATCTCAGAAATTAGCTATGCTTAGGGAAGAAACTTGTTATTGGAGACTTCGAAAGCTATCAAGAATTTACACCACTAATTAATAAAGCCTCTTAAAAGGCATAGGAATAGTACAAAGGTCTTCTGCTGCACTGCATTCACTTGTGGAGGAAGCAGTCTGTATCTTTAAATCAGTCTGTAAATCCTTCAGCCATTTCCCAGCTCCAAAGGATCCTTCAGTGTTCTCCAAAGAATTGCAAAAAAGAAATTGTAAACCCTTGATAGTGCCTAGGGAGCAATTTAATTCTCAGGGTTTTTTTCCTAACGGTAACTGATTCACCAGGCCTGAGCTGGTTATTAATTTCAGGTGTTTGTTGGGGGGAAAAAAAAACCCTTTCATTTTTGATATAATCCAATTAGAGTGAAGGTTATTACTGCAGGCTTCTGACGGAGTGGTGATTGCCAATCGAGGTTTCTAGGTCACCTTTTCCTCTTAGTCTGAGGCATTCAGTATGCTTCAGATTCACAGCTCCTTCAAACCTTTGCTCATTTTTCTGTTCCTCTCTTGCTTTCAGCTGGACATGAGAAAGTTCAAAGTAATCACATGATCCTAAGGAATAAGATCTTCACTATTTTTCTTTTCAAGTCACTAATGATATGTGAGCATTAATGTAGCACTCTGTTTAAATAACACAAAATACACAGTAAGAAGACACAAATATGAAAAAAAAACCTTTTCCCCCTCCTTTATCAAGAGACTCCTTGAGTTCTTACATTTTTTTCCTTGCCCTAGTATGTAATGAACACACCTCAAGAAAAATGAGCAGCTTATTTGCAACTTGGAAAGAGAAAAATTAAGATCGTCTTCTTTTGATTGGGCACACATTTCCTGTTTCTTGATATGAGTCATTCCAAAGAGAAGATAGATCTCATGGGAATTCACAGACTGTTCTGTGGTCTCTTACATTTTGCAGAAAATGGCAAAAACAGAGGAATAAAAACCAGTCATGACAGGAGATGACCCAAAAATATGATGCTTAGCTTTACTGGGCTAAGAGCTGGTAATGGAACGTATCATATTGTGCTGTAGACTGTGTAATCCTAAATGAGTATTGGCATTTTTAGTGTCTGAAATGCTGTTACCAGTTTTGTACCACCATGAGGCAATATCCTGTATGTGCCACATGTGTGACTTCTGATAGCTGCTTAAAATGCTGATTTCTGAAATAAAGTCAGATTTCTATGCCCCTGCAGTATTTTCTTCATTTCCACTGATCTCTATCTCTTTACAGATAATTGTGTTTAAAACAACAACTACAATTCTCTTTTCCCGTAAAGAGTTACAAATATCCTAAAATCTGTACTTGATGGTTTAGCTACAGATTCTTCTCAAGAGCTTTTTGAGTTTTAGGCCATGAGAATAATCTTGAAGGAGGACTCAGTGCCTGGGATGATGCTGGTTTGTTATACTGATAAGAAACAACGGTGTGTTCATGATGGGAATCACAGTTTTAGTTGAGAGATGTGAGTAAGAGCTTCAGAGCAGAATGCCTGTCCATCTTTTACTGCAGTTGCTGTGAATCCTTTCAGGTTTTGCCCTCTCTTGGTATTTAAAAAGCAGTTTTGACAAAAATCGATCTTCCCACCCGAGCAGTCTGAGGGCATTTTGACTGTTTCTGGTTTCTGTCTCTCAGCAATGTGCCTAGCGTTGGGAGTCTGGCCGACCAGGACTATCTCCAGATGAGCACCCCTCAGATGAACACCCCGGTGGCGCTGAACAGCGCCGCCCCGGCCAGCAACAGCGGGGCTGGAGTCCTGCCCTCCCCGGCCACCCCCCGCTTCTCCGTCCCTACCCC